ACTGTGGGCAAGGCAGGAAAACTCTAGCTACACCTATAACACTTAGGAGGTAGGAGCAGGAAGATCAGGAGTTCAAGGACAGCCTAGGTTAGAATGCCCAATGTTGTTCTTATCAATAAAACCCCAGATACTCAGACTGACCACCCCAACCAATCCTGGCCAAATTTAGGATAACTGAACTTTGCGTGACCTCTATGACACAAACCCCCTCTACTGCCCCAGCACATACAACTTCTGACCTGAGGAAGTAGGGCTCCTCCTTCTGGGCATCAGGGGCCTCTGTCCTGGTAACCTCCAGGGTCTGAAACTTGCCCTTCTGTTCACTCTGTAGGTGTTCCAACGTCTGCCAGACCATGGTGCAGAAGGAGAATCTCTCCCATTCCAAGGGAAACTCCCTCCCACAACTCCCCACCTCCTCAACACCCGAAAGCCTTCATGCAGGCGAGGACAGTGACTCAGGCATACAGCAAAGAGACTGGGAAGAACTGCTTTGGAGGGATATGGAATCAGCATGGGGAAGAATGATGGGGACAGGGATGGGGGTGGAAGAAGATATCTAGGCCTTTCTGTAGAGCAGGACAGACAGGAAGGATGGGGACTCCATGAAGAAATACGTGGAAGCTGGTCTAAGCCTGTCCTACCTTCCAGCTGCGGGCTTGAACCTGGCGCCCTTCAGCTATCTGTTCCAGCAGCAACTCCTGATGTTGGCCTGAAAATGAGACAGGATATGTGGGGACACCATTCTCCAACATCACTCCTTCTTCGCTGTCTTGTAATTGGACTGGCAGTAGAAAGCTGGCCTCGAACTCACAGAGATTCCCCTGCCTCTGCCTCCCAAATGCTAGGATTAAAGGTGTCTGCCACCACCACCTGGCTGGCAGTAGAAACTTAGACAAACATATTCTGATCCAGTGGCTGGAAAGATTCAAAGCTGATAGGAGAGACTAAATTCATACCATGAGAGAAAAAGAACAATATAAAATATTTTGCCAAAGGCTAGGGGTGTAGCTTGGTGGTGAAGCACATGCTTAGCGAAGTACAAGGCATCACACAATATACAAATAATTTGCCTGGCCAGGGGTTGGTGCCATATGCCTTTAATCCCAGCACTTTGGAGGGAGAGGCAGTGGGTTTCTGTGAGTTCAAGGCCAGCCTGGTTCACATAGTGAGTTCCAAGACAACCAGGGCTATACAGAGACCCTGTCTCAAAAAAATAAAATAAAAATTAAAAAAAAATAATTTGCTAGACTTTTCAATAGCTCAAAGAGGCAGAGGTATGGTCAGTTACTAGAAGAACAAGAAAATATTCCAGAAATAGGGACAAAGGAATACTCTCAATCTTTTACTTACTCAGCTGGTCTCGAAGCAACTTCAGTTCCTCCCGAAGAATCTCTGACTCTTCCCACAAAAGCTGGTGCCTACATGAGTGACAGCATGTCATTCTAAAATCAAATAACAAACCCAAAGTGGCTGGAGACAAAGTCTCGCTAAATGGCCCTAGTTGGCCTACAACTCAATATGTGAAGCAGGCTGGACTCAAACTCATAGAGATCTACCAGCCTCTGCCTCCTGAGCACTAGGATTAAAGGTGTGTGATAACAGAAAATAAATCTTAAATAAACAAAAAGACAAAGTCTTGCCCATCACTTACTCAGTCCGCAGCTCTTGGTGAAAGCCATTGGTACTACTGAACTTCCCTGGTCTTGTTCTCGTTTGGGTTTGGACTAGCTCTTGAACCTGGTTCCGAAGGCCCTGCAGTTCCTTTCTCAACCCTTCCAGGCGTTGCTCCAGAAGGGCTCTCCCTTTTGGGCCCTCCTGAAGCAATTTTAGTGATGCTGTAGTGGGACAAGTGAAGGCAAACTGCTCTAAGAGCTTCACACATGAGCCCAGGCACTACTTGCAAATCAAAACAAGTACACAAAAGCTACATAGCAAAACTGTGGGCATGTATACAAAGTCATGTGGTGCTGAAGAGATGGCTCAGCCTCACAACCAAAAGTTGTACATAGATCAGCGGTACAGCATAGCTCAGTATGCACAAAACTCCAGTTTTAATTTTAAAACTCTGTATACTGCACATGAAGCAAAGAATTGGCCCAGTACCTTCCAGAGCACTGATCTTCTTCATCTGCTGCTCCCGATCCTTCAACAGGCTCTGCACAGCACCCCTTAGCGCCGCAGTCACCTATCCAAGGACAGAAAACCCAGAAACTACTTTTTAAGTTGTTTTCCTAGCTCCTAATATTATTCTCTCACATTGCCACCACATACAAACACCTAATTCCTCACCTGAGCCTGAGCCTGAAGCTGGGATCGGAGCTTAGTAATTTCATTCCAGAGAGATGAGCTGTGAGATTCAGTGCAGCTCAGTCTCTCTCCAAGAACCGGAGTCTTTAGAGGCCAAGGCTGATGAGCTTGGGCCCCTGGCTGTGGAGGCAAATGATGAGGGGAAATCCAGGTGTCAGCCAGGTCCCCTAGTGAAGGAATAAGGAAGGGACAAGAGCAGGGTCTGTCTGTGTAGGAAATCAAAGTTTCAGAAGGGAAGTAGCTGGAATTTGTACAGAATTATAGATGATAGAGGCAGGCACTGGAAGAACGGACTTGAAAAAAAAGAAAAGGCTGAGAGAAAGAACAATACTTACCTGTAGAGGAAACTCGAAGAGGATACAAATTCTGCTACAAAAGAAAACAGTTCCACAAGCCAGTGAGCTTTCAGTGTCCTTTAATCTACGCCCTAGCCTAGTCTCCCAATGGGGAAAGAAGAACTCCGGGAGGTCGGGAAGGGAGGTTCCTGTGCCTCCTCACCTTAATCCGGGCCATATTTTCATCAGTTGAATTGAGAACTGCATGCAGTTGATCAGACCAGCTAGGGCTCCTATTCATCCTGGAGGACTGAGGACTGCGTCTCTGACGTTTCCTGCTCTTGCTCTCCCACACAAAGATACCAGCGGTAAAGCCCAGGACAGGACACAGTGTTACATGGAGAGAGGAAAGTAGGAATGGGATATTAAGGCTACAGATACAGTACCACGAAAAACTGCGAATCTGGAACTAGGGAACGGAGTTCTTGGGGAAGTGGGAAAAATAGAATACTCTAAAACACAGATATCAAGTGAGGGTCGAATGAGCCGAATCTTGTTTGAAACCTCCCCAAATCAAGGACGCTAGCACAATCTCCACGTCAAGTCTGGACCAGCCACTACTACCGCCCATGAGTTCAAACTCTGGTAGGCGGAGAGTGAAATTTAAGAGCGGGTGCCGCAGCGCCACCCGGGAAACTGAGTCCGCTTCTGGCGGAGACAACAGGCAATAGAGGGCGGAAATACGTCTCCCTGGAAGCGCCCCCGTACGTTCATACACACACCTCCCCGTGAAGCTTGTCGGGACACGGAGTCGTACAGACTCTGTTATGTTTGGGCTCCAAGGACCAAACTAACTACTTGTACCAAGATGCATCGCGCAGAGTCAATGGAAGATGTTAACTTGTCCTTTACCTCCTGGGAAATGTAGTCCGGCTTGTCTTAACGCCTAAAAGCCCAAGTTAACTATAAGACTCCATTTCCCAGCAAGCTCAGCGTTCAACGTGCGCTATGGAGCCGCGTGTCGCAGACCTGAAGCAGAAGATTGAGGACACTTTGTGTCCTTTTGGCTTCGAGGTTTACCCTTTCCAGGTTGGTTTGTCTTCCCTGTGGTTCTAGGGCCAGCTGTATGATTGGCCTTGGCGCCAAAAGTATGGGGCCCGGTGAGCCCTTCTTCTCCAGCCCAAGCTCCTACCGCGGCCATCTAATAACCCAGTCTCCGAGTCGTGATGTGAAATGGGGCTTGATAAAAGGTAGAGAAACAGACACGTTTGCCCGATTGCCTCTTTATGATGTCAAACAAATGAATTGGATTCAACCCACGATACCTGACCTCTCCGTAGTTTAAAAAAAAAAATAATAATGTCCCCCGTGGGGCCGGAATCACCAGACGCTTCCAAAGGAATTAGGAGAGGTCAAAGTTTGGAAGGTAGGCATGGCTATGTATTAGGTCCGTTGAAGAAAGAAGAGAATTCCTGATGTTGAGCAAGGCACAATTGGCTAGTTTGTTCCGTCAGCCAACTGAAGGCTAATTCATAATGTTGCTAGCCATCAATACAGGACTGAGCATAGAAATTCCTCACGCTCGCCTGGTACAGAAAGAACTCTCTGTAACCTCGGTCCCACTCCACACCACCCGGCTCCGCCCTATCCCACAGTACTGAGTGAACAAGATATGCTTAGGACACAAGCCTAAATTAAAATCATCCTGAGTCCTTGGACCTATCTATCTTAAGAGACTTCCCATTCCTCACCCATTCCATTGAGCTGTCCACGGCAAGACTTAGAATAAGATACTATAGAGAAGTAAGTAAATCTAGCTTGAACGCATTTGCAGGAGGAAAAAACGTGAAATTGAACCTCTGGAGGATGTAGCTCAGTGACAGAGCTCTTGACCACCATGCTTGAGGTCTTAGGTTCAATTCCCAAATTGAGGAAAAAGAATGAAACTGAGCTGAAGCTGTAACTCAGTGATAGAGTGCTGGCTTAGCATTGGCAAGGCTCTGGGTTTAACCTCAAGCACCAGTTCAAAAACAAGCGTGAAAAGATGGATTTAGGGGCTGGAGAGATGGTTCAGCAGTTAAGAGCACTGACTGCTCTTCCAGAGGACCAGGGTTCAATTCCTAGCACCCAAACGGCAGCTAACAACTGTCTGAACTCCAAGTTCTGACACCCTCACATAGATAAACATGCAGGCAAAGCACTAATGCAAATAAAACAAAAATAAATGAATTATTTAAAATAATAAAAGATGGATCGAAAGGAGGGAGGGTTATTGAAAGGAGGCAGTGATGGATGGCAGATAGGGAAAAAACAGGAATGCCTATGTGAGGTCCAGGTACAGTGGCAGAAGACTTTGACTCCAGCCTGTTCTACATATGGAGCTCCAGGCCAGCCAGGACTATATAGTGAGACCCTGTCTGAAAAGTGTGTGTGTGTGTGTGTGTGTGTGTGTGTGTGTGTGTGTGTGTGTGTGAGAGAGAGAGAGAGAGAGAGAGAGAGAGAGAGAGAGAGAGAGAGAGAGAGAGAGAGAAATGGGAACTAGTATACTGAACAGAGTTAGCTGTAGCTCTGCCTGTTATTATGAGGCCCTGCTACTCACCTTCTCAGTCCTACATCCAGCAGCCACCATGAATATCCCCTGAATCTTCCAAGCTCATAGTTTTTTAGCCCAACAACCCATCCTGTATCCCAAAACACTTCTCTCGTTAGGATTACTATAATCTGGCTTCAATCTTGGATCCAATCCATTCTCTACACTGCAACCAAATCTTTCTAAACTATCAGGTCACTTTATTCTTTGTTTGTTTTCGACGCAGGGTTTCTGTGTAGTTTTGGAGCCTGTTCTGGATCTCGCTCTAGACCAGGCTGGCCTCAAACTCAGAGATCTGCCTGCCTCTGCCTCCCGAGTGCTGGGATTAAAGGTATGTGCCCCACCACTGCCCAGCACTTCACTATTTGAAGTTAAATGACTCCTCTCTGTCACCAAATTGGAAGTCATAGTTTTTAAGTTGGTATTTAAGGTCAGGCACAACCTCCTACTAATCTCTCAAGCCTTTTCTCCTTTTCACTTCCACCACACTAGATAGTCTGCTCTTCTCAAATGCACTTAGTACATTTTTTTTCTTTTTCTTTCTTTTTGGTTTTTTTGAGACAGGGTCTTTCTGTGTAGCCCTGGCTGTCCTAGAACTCACTCTGTAGACCAGGCTGGCCTGAAACTCAGAGATCCCCCTGCTTCTGCACCACCCCACCCCGTCCCCAGTGGTGGGATTAAAGGTGTATGCCACCACAGCCCAGTGGGCTGAGTGCATTTCTACTGGCAAGGCTACATAGTGAGACTCTGTCTCAGGTAAATAAACAGCAGATTCTCTATCCCCCACATCAACCTTCAGTTTCCTTACCAGCCCCCAAGACTGGATTTCAGTTTTTTTCTAGTGTCAGAGGATGGTTATCTGGTCCTGCCATAGGACTGGTCATAATTATCACTTTCTCTCTTTTTTTTTTTTTAAATTTTTTGGAGACAGGGTTTCTCTGTGTAACAGACCCGGCTGTCCTAGAACTCACTTTGTAGACCAGGCTGCCTAGAACTCATAGAGATCCGCCTGCCTCTGCCTCCCAAGAGCTGGGATTAAAGGTGTGCACCACCACCACCTGGCCAGTTGTCACTTTCTATTCTAGTTTGTTTATAAACTCTTTCCTAATCTCACTCCTTGTCAATTGCAGACAGATTGCCCATATAAGGTTAATATGCATACATTACATAGCATCAGTGAAAATTCTTTGAATGAATGAAATGGAAATGAGTGCAAAACGTATGAAGCCTTGAATGCAAAGCCAAGGTGTGGGCCTAGTTAAGGCCCAAGCTGCTTGCCAACCAGACCTGAGCTTTCTGTGTTCCAGGTGGCGTGGTACAATGAACTCCTGCCTCCAGCCTTCCACTTGCCCTTCCCAGGACCTACCCTGGCCTTCCTGGTACTAAGCACACCTGCTATGTTTGACAAAGCCCTCAAGCCCTTCTTGAAGAGCCACCACCTCCAACCACCGAGAGACCCAGTGGATCAGTGCGTGTCCTACCACCTGAGGAGTGTTAGGGAGGTAAGGCTCAACTTCAACTCCCAAGCCTACATCTGCTTCCCTGCTGATGAAGCTCAGTGCAGGATCTAGATCTGGGGCTAGGAGCTATGCCGTTCTGTAACTTCTTCCTATTCTGCTTTCTCTTTTTTTCTTTTTTCTTTTTTTTTCTGGAGCTGAGGACCAAACCCAGGGCCTTGCACTTGCTAGCGCTCTACCACTGAGCTAAAATCCCCAGCCCCCCTATCCTGCTTTCTCACACCCAGGTTTTACCCTTTCCTTTATTAGAGACCCCTACCTGAAATCAGTTTCGTAGAGTGACTACACTGATGGACAACTGTATGGACCTCAGGCTAATCTGAATACATACTGGAATAGTAAATACATCTTTTAGGCATTGTGTGCTGTTCTTTGCTCTGTGCTTACAAGCTCTATGCTCTTTGGAGCCTTTTGAAGGCAGAACAGTATTTCCCAGCCTGTATTCATTTATATGCACATGTGTACATATTTGTACACAAGGCTCAATAACTCCTGATAATGGAGGCCTCTGAGCGAAGTCTTTTGTATTTCCCTTCGAGCACATGCCCTTCTGAGAGGGCAGAGGAACTTCAACTTCCTTCACTTAGTAGCGTCTTAGGTTAAAGTTGTGTTTTCCCTTCAAACAGGGCTTTTAATGGAGAATCCCAGCAGTAGGGAGGTAGAGGCAGGAGGATTACCTTTGGCTATATATAGCAAGTTCAAGGCCATTCTGACCCTGTCTCAAAAAACCAAGCCATGAGCTTATGAGAACAGGACCATGTTAATACACAACTTAGGCCTTTGCAGAACAGAACAGTCATGACTCCCATCATGCTAACAGGAGCCCCTTATTCTGTTCCAGAAATTTCCAGAACTGCAAATGGAAGTCATTGCTGACTATGAGGTCCACCCCAACCGGCGCCCTAAGATTCTAGCCCAGACCGCAGCCCATGTGGCAGGTGCTGCTTACTACTACCAACGACAAGATGTGGATGCTGACCCATGGGGGACCCAGGTTAGAGAATCCATGTGAATGAATGAGTGGGGACTCAGAGAGAAAAATAGTAAAGGCCCTCCAAGTATTTCTATGAGGTCCCACGGTCCTTCACCTTCCTTTGATGAAGTTGATACGTAACCCAGAACAACTATGGTCCTGACAAATAGTTCACCTGTTTTCTGGCTCCTTTACCTGCTGATTTACCTGAGGACATAACAGTTTAAAAAAATCTGGTCCCTTTTAGAGTTTTAAAAATATTTACTGTGTGTGCATGCATTGATAGAGGTCAGAGGATAATTGCAGGAGTCAGTTCTCTCCTTCCACCTTGTGGGTCCTTGGGGATGAACTGAGGCTGTTAGGCTTGGCTGCACACACCTTCACTCACTAAGTCATCTCACCAACTTCCTGGTCTGTTTTTTGTTTTGAGACAAAAACCATCTCTGGTTGTCTTAGAACTCACTGTGTAGACTAAGCTGGCCTCAAACTTACAGAGACCCATCTTGCCTCTGCCTCCCGAGTGCTGGGTTGTATGCCACCACTACCCGGCTTGCCTGCTCTGTTCTTGTGTTCTTGTTCTTGTGTTCCATGGCTGTGTCAGGAAAATCCAAAGGCAGAGTAGTGATCAGGAGACTAATACTGAAACTGGGAAGCTGCTGAGGCCATAATTCTATGAATAGGTGGTCAAGAAGAGGACAGGGACAGTGAGATGGAGGTAAAGGCACTGTGTGCCACACAAGCATACCAACCTGAGTTTGATCTCTAGAACCCATGTAAAGGTGAGAGAGAACCAAATCCATGAAATTGCCTTCTGATCGCCAATAGACACATTCACATATACACAATAGATTTCTTAAAAATGAGGGAAAGAGCCAGGCAGTGGTGGCACACACCTTTAGGGAGGCTCTCTGTAAATTCAAGACCAGCCTGGTCTACAGAGTTCCAGGACAGCCAGGGCTACAAAGAGAAACCCTATCTTGAAAACACACACACACACATACACGCATGCACACAGGGAAAGAGGCTTCTGCATGAAATCTGTGTGCATTGAGTGGAAAATATATGAACAAAAATAGAGCTGCTGGCATGAAGGCAAAAACACTCACACATAAAAATAGAGGAAAAAAGCTTGCAATAATGGGAGTTGGACCTAGTATCAAAATGACTTCTGTAACCCTGAAAACTACTTTTTGCCCTCTCCCCAGCACATAGCAGGTGTGTGCATACACCCCCGATTTGGGGGCTGGTTTGCTATCCGAGGAGTAATATTGCTGCCAGGGATTGAAGTACCAAATTTGCCACCCAGAAAGGCCCCTGACTGTGTGCCTACAAGAGCTGGCCGCATCACTCTGCTTGAAGGCTTCAATTTCCATTGGCGTGACTGGACTTACCGGGATGCTGTGACTCCTGAAGAACGTTACTCAGAAGAGCAGAAGATCTACTTTTCTACCCCACCTGCCCAACGCTTGGCCCTATTAGGCTTTGCCCAGCCCTCAGAACACGCTAGCATTACACCTGAGCATCCCAGTTCCATGCTTACCAAGCCCCAGAATTCCAGCAGAGCAAGAAGCTGGCTTAGCCCCAATGTCTCACCACCTGTATCCCCGGGTCCTTGACCTTTTCCCCTGTGAGATACCATTTGTGTTAGATTTATTTTGGGTAAAATTTGGGTCTTGAAAAAGCACTTTTGTTTTTTTTGGGTTTTTTTTTTTTTTTTTTTTTTTTTGGTTTTTGGTATTCAAGACAGGGTTTCTCCCTGTAGTTTTGGTGACTGTCCTGGAATTCACTCTGTAGACCAGGCTGGCCTCCAACTCACAGAGGTCTGCCTGCCTCTGCTTCCCAAGTGCTGGGATAAAAGACATATGCTGCCACCACCCAGTAAAAAAAAAGCACGTTTTATTTGAGTATTATTTCCTGATAATAGCTCTTCAAAGAGAGTCAAGATTCACTTTACATTGGTCAAGACAAATCACATGCCAAGGCAGACTCAAAATCAGCAGCTGCCTTCAAATAGTACTCTAAATACTATTTAGAGTTGTGGTTCTCAATTTTCCTAATGCAACCCTTTAATACAGTTAGTTATGTTGTGGTAACCCCAACCATAAAATTATTTTGTTATAATTTTGATAGTTATAAATCATAATGTAAATGTTTTCAGATGGTCTTAGGCGACCCCTGTAAAAGCGCCCTTCAACTCCCAAAGGGGTCTTGACCCACAGGCTGAGAACCACTGATTTGGAGGATCCTAGGGGTATACACCCTTTAAGTGGTACCTACCACATAGGGCTATGCCAAGTTATTATTTGAATAAACTACTTTGAAACTGTCTGACATACGTAAGTGGTATGTTATTACTAAAGGCTTAAGGAATCTTACACTTCTGCTCAAATAAATCTAGTTTGATTATGGAATGTTGGAAGGCCATGATGGTACAAGACTGTTTTGTCTGCTGTTATCAAGAATCCAGAAGAGGTGAGATTCAGGAAAGGTGCAAAGCTACACAGAGAAACACTGTCTCAAAAAAAAAAAAAAAAAAAAGAATCCAGAAGAAATTTCTTGCTGACTTAAAGGGTCTAGAATCTTCTCTAATCATAGCTAAAATAGAATCCTATCCAAAGCCACCACCTTTGTTTGCTTGTTCTCTCCAGAGATGGATGCTTCCCAATCCCGGAAGGGTCTGAAGAGGTGGCTTAGTAAAAGGATGAGGTTTATGTGTGTGAGGAATGAGGTCCTGTCTTTAAAAGAAAAAGAAAAAAGCTGCCTCAATCAACTGAAAGTATATACATGCATACAGAAGTGAGCGTTTTATTTTTCCATTTTGTATGAAAGAGCAAACTCAAGCCCTACTACACTGTTAGTCATGGCACCACAGTTAATATTTGCTAGGTTGCAAATGATAGTCCCAGTAAGATTATTTGTAGTGTTTATATGCAGATGCAACCCTTCCCCCGTAAACATGATTTAAAAGAAAAATCAATGGCCAAGCCTATGAATTCTTCAATCTCAGAACTGAGATGAGTGCAAGATTAAAGCCAACCTAGGCTACAAGGCAAGACTTTGCATTGTGTATAGGCCAAAGCATGTTAAGCCTTCTTGAGGCTGGAATTAGAGAAAGCTGTTCTTTGAGACAACTCACTGAACTCATATTGAGGTTTGCTGACCAGCAAGCTCCAGGACTGCCTGTGTCCTTGCCTCCCCTGCACTTAAGATTACAGACACATAGCATTCATTGGTCTTGGCATTTTATGTGGTTGTTGGGGATTGAGCTCAGACCCACATGCTTGCATGATGGTCTGTCCAGAGTGTGATCGACATTTGGTTGCAAATGAGTTTACTAACACTATAGCAACCAAAAGTAAGGAACAAGTATCAAATAATACAACATGGAATCAGGTGTTTATAAAATCCTTAGACTCATGTTGGAATGTTGTCCACCACATAGGTAAACCTCTTGATATTTTCTTTTCTTCTTTTTTTTTTTTGGTTTTGAGACAGGGTTTCTCTGTGTAGCTTTGGAGCCTGTCCTGGAACTTGCTCTGTAGACCAGGATGGCCTCGAACTCAGAGATCCACCTGCTTCTGCCTCCCGAGTGCTGCTCTTTATATTTTCTTTTGCCTTCACTTCTCTAGTACTGGGATAACAGGTATGTCCCATCATACCACTTATGTGGCAGTAGGGTTAGAACACACTGGTTAATTTCTGTCAACTTGACAGTAAACTAGTTTCCTGGGAGAGGAAACCCCAATTGAGGAATTGCCTAGATGAAACTGGCCTGTGGCATTTGGGGGGGGGGGGCCGCTAACTGACTTAGAAGGGCCCAGTCCACTGCACAGTACCATTCCTAGGCAGCAGCTGGTCCTGAACTGTTTAAATCTGCTCCCCGACCCCCAGCAGCAAAGCAGGACACCAGGTAAGCACTCTACCAAGAGCTATACCTCCAGCCCTGAGGCAACTCTTAAACCTAATTTTTTTTAAGAATAGCAGAGGCTGCCGGGCGGTGGTGGCGCACGCCTTTAATCCCAGCACTCGGGAGGCAGAGGCAGGCGGATCTTTGTGAGTTCGAGGCCAGCCTGGGCTACCAAGTGAGCTCCAGGAAAGGCGCAAAGCTACACAGAGAAACCCTGTCTCGAAAAACCAAAAAAAAAAAAAAAAAAAAAAGAATAGCAGAGGCTATGAAGATAGCTCAGCCATAAAGTGCTCTTATGAGGTCCATGGAACTCCTATCAAAAAAGAAGCCAGGCATGGTAGGCCATGCTTATAAAACCAGCACTGGAGAGAGAAGCAGATCCTGAGTTTGCTAGCCACATCTACATGTCAAGTTCCAGATCAGTAAGAGATCCTGCCTCAAAAAATAAGGGACTGGAGAAATGGCTAGTGGTTAGGGACATTTGCTGCTTGCTGCTCTTATAGTAGACCCAGGTTCAATTAATTCCCAGCACCCACACTGTGGCTGACATCCATCCCCATAGGGGATACAACAGGCAGGTACATAGTGTATACGCAAAGAAAAGATTCATACATATAAATCCTTTGGAAAAAAATAAAAAAGTAAATAGCACCTGAAGAACACCCTCTGGCTTCCACATTTACACACACACACACACACACACACACACACACACACACACACACACACACCATACTCACGTTCATCTAAACCAAAAAACTACTATTGCCTGAAAATGAATCACCAAGTTCTCAGAGATCAAGTTTAATAGATACTAAAAAAAGGAACAACAGGTTGATTTTTGCAACTCACAACAAACCTTAGGTTATTCCCAATAGAGGAAGAAAGGCTAACCGCCCCCAGTACTGTAGGAAAGGGATGTCTTGAATCACACCACATTTTGTTTAAGCATGAATCGAGGACAAGAAATTTTCTTCTGGCTGACCAATGCAGCCTGGCAGAAAAATGGACCAGTGCTCACTTCTGCTTAGAGAAATATTCTTTGCTCTTTTGGACATCAGGCTTGATGGTATCACTGCCAGGTTTCCAGCCAGCAGGGCACACTGTAAGAGAAAGGTATTACTAATTATTAACCTGCTCAGTGGTGTGTATCTGCCTCCCTCATCTCTATGAACAAAGGGCTGTCTTGCTGTGGTGGCACATGCTGGCAGGATATGCTGAAGAAATGGATGCAGGAGAATTATGAGTTCGAGGCCAGCCTAGACTACAAATTTTGCATGGCACATGCCTTTACTCCAGCACTCAAGAAGGAGAGGCAGGCAAATCTCTGGAAATCCAAGGCTGGCCTACTCTACATGGTGAATTCCAGGCAAATGAGAAGACCTGGAATTCACTATGTAGAGTAGGCCAGCCTTGGATTTCCAGAGATTTGCCTGCCTCTACTTCTTGAGTGCTGGAAAAAAAAAAAAAAACACAAGGTGGGGCTGGAGAGATGGCTCAGTGGTTAAGAGCACATAACTAAGACTGCTCTTCCAGAGGTCCTGAGTTCAATTCCCAGCAACCACATGGTGGCTCCCAACCACTTGTAATGAGATCTGGTGCCCTCTTCTGGCCTGCAGGGACACATGCAGGCAGAACACTGTATACATAATAAATAAATAAATCTTAAAAATAAAAAAAACACACAAGGTGGCCCTGTGTGGGCATGAGCTCAGGAGTTGGCCCCACCCCTTGCTGGCATAGGATGAGCATGAAGGTGAGCTGGCCTGCCCCTTACCAGCTAACACATGGCTCTCCACAGTACATGGCTTCTGGGAGAAAGATACACTTTTCTTTGGGTGAGGGGCTGGCCACTAGGAGTTTGAACATGCTCTAATAAGTATATGGCCAACACAAAATTTACTTAAATTTGTTTTTTGGGGGGTGGGGGAAGACAGGAGTGAATGATGTAAGATTCCCAAAAAATCAAAAATCCAAACCAAACGACAAAGCTGAGGATGGCTCGTGCCTACTAATCCCAGGACTCAAGTACTTGCCACAGCCGGCCAAATCCCAGGCTAGCCTTGATGGGAGACGATCTCAAAATGCAAAAGTAGCCAAATGCACACACCTTTATAATCCTAGAGGCAAGCAGATCTTAGGCCAGCCTGGTCTACAGAGTGAGTTCTACAACAGCCAGAGCTGTTACACAGAGAAAGCCTGTCTCAAAAAAACAAAACAAAACCAAAAAAACAAACTAACTAAACCAAAAGTAAAAGGAAACCTAGAGCAGCTGGAGAGCGAGCTTAGTGTATACTAACACCAGACAGTATACAACTGCCTGGAACTCAACACCCTCTAGATGCTGCTAGCACCTGCTCAGACCCACCCACACATGTATAATTTTAATAAATAATAAAAAAAAAAAAACCCACAAAGAAGCCTGGAGATACATAATACAGCCCAGCAGTATAGTACAGTGTTTGCCTAGTATGCCCAAGGCCCTAGGTTCATCCCTTAATATTACATGCCTGCTGCCAAAGTGTTTAAAAAAAAAAATCTGATCCTGGGGAGGCAAAAAACAATATAAATCTGATTCTAGGGTGTAATCTGTCACTTAAGCTTTTGGTATAAGGCTAAAAAAGTTTCACCATAGCCCTAACCTACTATTATAGCTCACTTATTTGCACCCAAAATCTAAGCAATAAAACTTCATCTGCACTTACATCCAATAACAAACTGTCTAAAGGGCGATAGTGGTGCACATCTTTAATTCCAGCACTTGGGAGGCAAAGGCAGGCTGATCTCTGTGAGTTCAAGGCCAGCCTGGTTTACAGGGTGAGTTTTAGGACAACAGCCAGTACTGTTACACAAAAAAAAACCAAAAAGAAATTTAAAAGAAAAAAAAAAAAAACTGTCTAAAATATACATAACAAGACATTAAGATTTATAGAAGGGCTAATAATTCACATGCTGTATACAATTTTATGTATGCTTCACATACTACTTAAATTAAGAAAAAAAGGGAAGAGGTAACAAAACATCCCTGAAAGCCAAGTAGTTAGTTAACTCCCAAACTACAAAAGAGCACTTCTACAAATGCCGTTTCATTAAGAACTGCCCTCTACTCTCCCAGTAAGCAAAGGGCAGAGCTTCCATCTTTCACACCCTTAGGAAAAAGTGTGAAAATGGCTGTATTTTCTGCATAACAACTTCAAGCTAGAAATAAAGGCAAAGGAAATCTGATTTTCCACTTCCATTTGAGACATGTATTCATCAAAGTCTAGTAATACAAACAAGTATGGTGAGTGACTCGGAAGGCAGAGGCAGGCAGTCTACATATCGAGTTTCAGGCCAGGCAGCACTATATAGTAAGATCCTGTCTCCAAGAGAAAAAAAACGGGTAGTAATACAGCAGAAAGAAATCTCAATTTCTTTTGTGAAAATAAGAAGCCTCTATTGGTCCAAAGATATGATGACCTCAATATCAGACTCTGTGGTCAATTCTGAGTACTGAAAACATGGAACAAGAACTAAATGAGAGGACTAGAGAGATGGCTCAGCAGCATTCCAGCACCCACATGGCTCTGGGTTTATAAGACCTTTAGAAAATCCAACAACGTATATACTTTGCTACTCTTTGTTCCTTTTACTTTAGCAGTGACCCTCACTCAATACTATGGAGCAATCTCAGAAGCAGTCAGACTAACGTCTGTCCATACATGCAAATACTTTAAAATTATCTGGGCTTACTATCCCTGATTATCAGCCTTCCACACGAGCTAAACACCTTTAGATCACTCAGATGTTCAATTAATCCATATTCTAACAGCTTTAACCTTTTATAAGAGGCAAAACCAGAATTTTAACAGGTCTCTAAAAGTGAGTATGATTATTTACGTTTCTCTCTCCAGTCCTACCCTCAAAGCATGAGATTATAAACATAAGGAACATGTTAACAGCACAAAGACACCTGGTCCAGGGGGCTGTATTCTACTTAATGCTTGACTAAAAATTAAAAGTGGGACCAGCAAAATGGCTCAGTGGGTAAACACACTCCAAGATAAACCTGACAAGCTAAGTGTGGTGATGACCAGAACCCTCAGTGGAAACAAAGAACTGAGGCTAGAGTTGTTCTCTGACCTCCACTGGTACATCATGGCACACATCTACATATAAAAAATAAAATTTAAAACAATAATGTAAACAAGAGGAGGGGCTGGAAAAATGGCTCAGCAGTTAAGAGCACTGGCTGCTCTTCCAGAGGACCCAGATTCAATAGGCAGCAATGGTGGCTCATACCTCTATTCCTAGCACTTGGGATGCTGAGGAAGATTTGTAGGAATCTGAAGACAGGCTGAGCTACATAGTTGAAGGCCAGCATTGATTACATAGGAAGATACTATCTCATCTCAAAAAAGGAGAAACATACCAAATCATGTTTAGAATTTACAAGTACTATGCTTTCTTTGTATTTCTATGAATGTTTTACCTATATGTATGTCTCTGAACCACATGCATGCAGTACCTGAGGAAACCAGAAGAGGACATCTGATCTCCATAGAATAGAATAGAATTTGTGAATAGAATAGAATAGAAATTGTGAGTTGTCATGTGGGTGGAACAGAATGTCTTAACCACTGAGCCATCTCTCTAGCCCATTTTTTTTCCTGTAAGATTTATTTTTTAAATTTTCTTTCATTTTTACTTTATGAATATTTTGCCTGCGTTTATGTCTGTGCACCACATTGTATCCAATGCCCAAGAAGACCAGAAGAGGGTATCAGATTCCCTTGAACTGGAGTTACAAGATAGTTGTGAGCCACCCTGTGGGTTCTGGTAATCAAACCATAGTCCTCTGAAAAAGCAGCCACTGCTCTTAATCCCTGAGCCATTTCTCTAGTACATATTACTTTTAATTTGTGTCTCTGTGTATATATATGAGTATCCAGAGACTATTAAGAGGATGTCAGCTCCTTTGGAGCCAGAATTACAGGCAAATATTTATGAGCAACTTGTTATGAATGCTGAGGACTGAATTCAGGTCTTCTGGAAGAGCTGCATGTGCTCCTAACTCCTGAGCTATTTTCTAGTTGCCTTCCTTAAACACTTTTGGGAGACCTTGTCTTGGATACCTGAAACTTGCCATGTAGAATACAATGGCCTTGCTAGGCAATGGTGTCACATGACTTTAATCCCAGACACAGACTCAATTAACTCTTTAGCCCATGTTGCCTTGAAATTGCCCGTGCTAGAATTACAGAACTGAGCCAGTGCAAGTAGCAAGAACAGACTTCTACATGGCAAAATAATCCCTGATTCTAAAACTTTACCTCACCTTCTCTATTTCTCACACACCTACCCTACCCCACTCTTTTTTGAGCAGGTAGCCCTAAAACTCACTGTAGCCCTATTACTCACTAACTAGCCTAGGATGAGCCTGACCTCATGATCCTTAGGCCTCTTCCTCCCAGAAGTGCTAGGTTTATACTAAGTTACATCCTCAGCCCGAAAAATAGATTGACAGCATGTGGGCTGGATACGAACCTCAGGGATTCACAAGTTAGAAGTTACCACTGAACTACATTCTTAGCAACCATAAATAATTTTTTAAGATTTTATGTGTATGAGTTTTTGTTTTTGTTTTAAGACTTATTTATTATGTATACATTGTTCTGTCTGTACGTATCCCCACAGGTCAAAAGAGGGCACCAGATCTCATTACAGATGGTTGTGAGCCACCATGTGGTTGCTGGGAATTGAACTCAGGACCTTTGGAAGAGCAAGCAGTGCTCTTAACCTCTGAGCCATCTCTCCAGCCCCCATGTATGAATTTTTTGCCTGTACCATATGCATGTCTTGTGCCCTTGGAGATCAGAAGAGGGTGCTGGCCCTCCCAGAACTGGAATTATAATAGACTATTTGTGACAGACATGTGTGTCTGGTCCTCTACAAGAGGGCAAGTTCATTTAACCTCTCGAGCTCCTAATTTAAAAATTTTTTTTGCCGAGCTGTGGTGGCGCACGCCTTTAATCCCAGCACTCGGGAGGCAGAGGCAGGTGAATCTCTATGAGTTCGAGGCCAGCCTGGACTATCAAGTGAGTCCCAGGAAAGGCGCAAAGCTACACAGAGAAACCCTGTCTCGAAAAACCAAAAAAAAATAAATAAATAAAAAAAATAATTTTTTTTTTTTTTTTAATTTTAGGTACATTGATGTTTTGCCTACATGTATGTCTGTATGAGGGGTGCCAGATTCCCTGAAATGGGAGTTTCTAGACAGTTGTGAGCTGCCATGTGGATGCTGGGAATTGAACCTGGGTCCTCTGGAAGAGCAACCAGTGCTCTTAATCTCTGATCCATCTCTCCAGCCTTTGAGCTCCTTATACATTTTAAAAAAAAAAAAAAGGGCAAAAATAAAAACCTTTCCACCAAGTATGGTGCATGCATTTAACCCCAGCACAGGTGGATCGCTGAGTTTAAGTTTGAGGTCAACCTGGTCAACAGGGCAAGTTTTAGGACAGCCAACGTTACACAGAGAACCCCTGTCTTGAAAAATAAAAAAACACTTCCATTTCTTACATAGACACAATTACCCTTTTACCCAAAGCCTTTGCACCCTACCCTACTGCTGTCTCATTAGCAGGCAGATGACTTACCTTCACCATGCTTGTCAGTGTACTGGAAGGCCTGCACTAGTCTCAGAATCTCATCCACAGAGCGGCCAACAGGAAGATCATTTATAGTGATCTGTCGAAGGATACCTTTATCATCAATAATAAAGAGGCCCCTGGGTGGAAAAGATTGAAGGATTGAGAAAGAGGCATTACAAGTCAAATTTTTGCACAGAAGTCCTAAGAAAATGAATGGGCTGTTCTATAAATCAAGTTATACTAGCCAACTATTAGTGTGACCACTACACTGAAAAATGCAATGAGAAATAGATGCAGCTCAGTTGGCAGCATGCTTATTAAGCATGCAGAAAACCCTGGGTTTGATCCCCAGGAACACATAAACCAGAAGGAGTAGTGAACAAAAGAAAAGTGGAAACAGTGGATCAGGAGTACAAGAACATCCTCAGCTATCAGACACCATGTCCAAAATAAAACAGGTTGGAGGACAGGCATAGCAGCACATACCTACAAGTTCTAGTTCCTGGGAGGCTGAGAAGAGGATCACTAGTATGAGGTCAACCTGAACTATTCAGCAAATTCAAGGCCAATTTGAGCTATATCATAACAAAATTGGTCGCAAAAATAAAAACAAAGAGGCTGGGGAGAGAAGACTCAGTCAGTAAAGTGATGCTCTTCCAAGTATGAGCACCTGAATTTGAGCCCCAAAACCCATTAAAAAAATAAATTACCAAACAAGTAATCTCACCTTTAAAAAATAAAATAAATTAAGAAAAAAAAAAATCAAGGACTTGGAGAGATGGCTCAGAGATTAAGAGTACTGGCTGCCCTCTCCAG